CATTGAAATACCAGTATCAATAAAATACGAAAACAAGTAAATTTCTTCACAATAGGGTACAAACCATAATCGAAATTTGCAACTTTTAACGCTACTTTATTTTTTTTTAGCAATAAATGGCAAATGGCGACAATAAGGCGGATGCGTTGCCTACCCTTAATTGACAGATAAGGAGACGCAATAAACAGGATGTTTCTTCCAGTGCATATCCTCCGCTATCAAACCCACTTTTTCTTCCCATCCTTTTCACATGAGAAAAGGCTGAAAAGTAAAAGAGATTAAAATTAGGCCTCCGGCACCACATTCCTCAGACGATACACGGAATTGCTCCCACTTCACGCTAGTCTTCTGTGTGGTCATTGTTTTGGGCGAGCCGACCCATTCGTGAAAAGATGTTAAAACGGGCTCTACCACTGTCAGATATACGTTGGAGTCCTCATTATATCAAAATACAAAAAAAAAAAACAATCTGTATTAACACATGCTAAGAATTTTTATTAAGATTTATAAAATATTTTATGTAAAGGATATTTTTCAAAACACAAACAATATCCTGGAACAATCAATGCTGGCAACTTTTACAACGGTATAAGCGTAATCCGGCTCAATATTAACCGCTTAAAAACTCCGCTTATAGGGAATCCTTTAATATATTGGATTTTGCTATGTCTATATTGGTTAAACCGAAATTACACAACTTTTCTATACATTATTTCATAAAAAAATGTCTATCCCTGATGGGGTAATATAGACTAAAGAACAACACTAGACAACTAAAATAAAAATATACACACACTTCTTTTTTGTGTAGGATGTCAGCAATCACAGCAAATTTTTTAATAATTCATTGTTATCAAAAATGTATCTGTTCTAGTAAAAAAATAATTTTACTTATATGCGAAAGTTTTGATGGATGTTTGTTAGAGTTTGTAACCTAAACTGATCTCGATGAAATTTGGCATAAATATAGAGCATAGTCTGGAAAACGTAGGCTACTTACTTTTTAATTCTACGCAGTCCAAGTCGGGGTCGAAAGTAAGTATAAAATGAAATAGATAAATATAAATACATCTTAAGAATTTTCAACCGCATTTCAATTCCACTTAGCTAAGGACGAGTGGTTTTATAATTTCCGGCGGCAGAGGGCGCGACGCTTGAACGTCGAGAGGAAAATGCCTTCGTATTAGACTAATTTTCAAATTGATTTCGGTTCTCTGAGTTATCAAGAATCTCTCATTGATGTATTGAAAATTATTTTGGAAAGACAAGAAAGTTTAACAAAATTTACTTTTTTATTAGTCAAATTAAACATAACCTTCAAGTAATTCCTATTTTTTTTAAGGTCATACTTTTCTATATTTTTTCCTAATCCAATTCGTAACAAAAAGAGGTAGGCAGCGAAATAACAAATAAATATATTGAACATCGTACTATTCTTACTAATATAAATGCGAAAGTTTAGATGTATGGATGGATGTTTGTTAGAGTTTGTAGCCTAAACGACTGAACGGATCTCGGTGAAATTCGGCATAGACGTAGAAGATACTCTGGAAGAACACATGGGCTACTCACTTTTGTTTTTTTTTTTAATTCCACGCGGACGGAGTCGGGCGCGAACACTAGTTATCTTGTAAATTCCTTCAGACTAATTAAATGAAATAATTTCATTCTGAAAAAATCTTTCTGGTCCTCTTACTATATTTTGATAGAAAAAGTAAAACAGCTTGTATAAGTTCAGAGACAATTTCAGAACATCTCCTAAACAATTACTTCTCAATATAATACATATTGTTACATAAAAGGCCTCATTTCGTCGATACTTTTCATCCGTACGAAAAGAATATAATGGTTTTTCCTTGTTACAACAATAATTCCCGTCCTTCCCAGAATGTTCTAAATAAATCTATTTTTCCGAGAATCGAAATATAATCTAAATAATTCATTATAATGTAATAGAAAAAGGTCACATTTAAATTTGTATCAAAATACGTACTTTCTATATTCAAAATCTTTGCTCACTGTACATTTTAAAATTAAATAGAACGTAAACATAACCTCAACTTATAATGTTCGTAAGATACGGGTTTCTTACCACGATTGAATTGTTTTAGCTCCCGATATTTACGATATTTACGAAGAAACCCGTATCTTACGAACATTATATTTGTAAAAACCACGACAGTTTAAAGTTATATATAACCTCAACTTGTACAAATCATCTTTACATATAATAAAATTAGAGCGTCTGTTTGTAATATACAAAAAAATCCAGATTTCGGGAAGATGATGTATTTGTGGTACTGATAACGAAACATGTTTTGTCTGTCCGCAACTCTTGTTTGTTCCCGGTAATATCCAAATCGGCTGCGCTGATTTCTACCTGACTTACACTAAAGGGTAGCTGACATAGACAGGCATATTATAGGCTACTTTTTATCTTAATATTGCGTGGACGAAGTCCCAGGCAACAGCTAGTTCATAAACCCATTCATTACAATTTATCATAAAATGTAAAAACAAAGAAGTAACATCTAAATGGGTTCATAAACATCTCATATTTCAATAATATTTACCATCCTCCGATAATCTTAGATTTTGGATCGTTGCCCGGAATCATATGTACTCCTTATGAAGCCAAGCTGACGCCAATACCATTATATACCTCGGAATTGTGTTCCTTGAGAAATTGTGGTGAACCTCAATAGTATTTTTTCACATCAATGACTTTAGACGGACTACGAAAATCCCTTGTTTATTTTATTCGACCTTAAATCATGACAATCTTTTATTTTTATATTCGCTTGCAGTCATACTAATACTAATATTATAAATCTGAAAGTTTAAATGGATGGATGGATGTTTGTTAGAGTTTGTAACCTAAACGGCTGAACCGATTTTGATGAAATTTGGCATAGATGTAGAGAATAGTATGGAAGAATACATAGGCTACGCACTTTTGTTTTTTAAATTCCACGCGGACGAAGTCGCGGGCGAAAACTAGACTATTGAATAATTGTTAACCTATTTAATTTCGATTTGAATAACTTGTAACTTGATTTTGTACATAATATTCCAGGATTACATAAATTTGTAATTAAACAGCGTAACTTAGTCATTAGTAGTTTCTAGAAGAAGTTTCAAAAAACTCTAAAACTTTCTTTGAAATCCTATTTCTTTTTCTGTATCAGCTTTTTGACTGGAAAATAATAAACTACGATTTTTAAGCCTTTTCACAAGTTCTAAAACTCATTTTTAGTTTAAATACATCTTCAGTATTTACAATTCGTTTCGTAGAAGTTATTCGGAAAGTAATTTTACTAAGAAACAGTTGTTTGAAACAGCGGCGTCGTTGCGAAAGCAATTTGAACTGTTCCTGCTTGTGAGACAGTGGAAAGAAACAATCAACAATCCCAGAATAAGATTGGGTAAAAATTTGCAACACAACTTAACAAGTAATCGCTTACAGAAGATGTCACAGAAGGAGCTTTTAATAAATTATTTACTTTAAAATAAAAATTTAGATACATTTAGTTTTTTTTTTTAAGAGGAATGTGTTACACATTCCAGTTGTATTGGGAAAAAACACACTGGGTATGTGGGTCTCTCTCATCATCCCTTCTTAATGAAAAGAACGTGGAGCCTCGATTTCACTGTTCACCGCGGCATGGGCACAATAAATATTCATCACACACCCCGGTGGTGGTATTTAGTAACCTAACCTGTCACATTTCATTTTAACTAAGTCATTTAAAGGTTTATTAAGTCCCTTAGTGCAGATTTTTTTTATGCTAAATCGCTTAATGATTTTTTTAAAATAATTAATATCTCTGAGTGCAACATTAAGTTGAAATGACAATGAATACCAGTTGTATATTACTTTAGTAAGATTATTTGATGACCAAATACATAGCGTCTATTTCCACTTATCGATAACGCTCGGCGATAGTATCGACGCGCCAGTGGATTTAGGTATTTAGTTTATTCTATTGATAATCCGAGTGACACTAAACTCGTAGCAAATTAGCGAATACTCAACCGCAATAATAACAGGTGTTGTTGTCAATTACAACCACAAATCGAGCGCCAATTCCACGACTAAACCTTTAATTGGCGGTCAGTGAATTAATAATATGCGTTAATTACGATAATGATGTAATCTTACTAATATTATAAATGCGAAAGTATAGAGCGAGCGAGCGAAAACATAGTATTAAAGATAAGAGCGTCAGTGGCTTAGTGGTTTGAACACTTGACTTGTAATCTACAGGTCTTGGGTTCAAATCCCGCCATGTAACAATGTCATTTTCGATTTTTCGAATTTTCATATGTACATAATTTACCTGACGTTCTTACGGTGAAGGAAAACATCGTGATGCAACCTGCACATATCGTCGAAGAAATTCAAAGATATGTGTGAAGTTAACCAACCCGCACTTGGCCAGTGAGGATGACTGTGGCCTAGTTCACGCTCCGAGCCCCTCGGTGGGGACGTATAGTGAGCTGGTGATGACGATGTGATGATGAAAGTATAGATGGATGTTTGTTAGTTTATAGCCTAGACTGCTCTGGGTGAAATTTGGCATAGGCTTAGAGGCTCACTTGAAAGAACACATAGGCTATTTATTTGATAATGCTTATCCCTGAATTAAAAACGTCTGTTGTAGTTGTTAACAGTTCTTTCTCTAATTAGTTCAAACCAACGGACAACCATCAGTGTCTAAATGGCGAAAATCATATCGGTACAAAAAACTACATCTTATAGCCTGTCTATTTGTAGAGGTCAGAGACATTTAACCAGAAAATTTCATGTCACTTTCTCATTATACATATTGTTTGGCTTCAGTGCGCTAATACATTATTTGAGAGTAATTTCGGAGGAATTTTAATAGCATGCGAAAATAATACAAACTTCGTTTAATTATTACCTTTTATTTGTTTTAAACAGTCTTATAATCGAGCGACATTTCGAAATGTATTAATACTCTTTGGAATTTGGCGTTTCTAAGCAAGAGTCGGATTACAGTTTACGTTTTTAACATAACAATGATCGTTGTATTGTTTCATTTGTTAACAATTATTTACAAAACTCGTATTACGGTAAAGCATAAATGCATCTATTTACAATTGGATTTCAATGTTTGAACATCTACATAAATATATATGACAGCACTAAACAGCATATTGTTAATAATGGTTTGCTTGATTGATCTTCGGACATTGCTTTGGCCACTTCAGTAAGACCTGTGGAAAGAGAAATATTAATATTTTTGTTAATACTATAAAATCCAGAGACACAACGCGCAGTAAAGTATACGAGATTTTCTCATTTGAAATCTAGTCGTCTGTCGACTTCGAAATCCTAGTACAAGATCTTGCAAAAATCCAACAAAACAAAAGAAGAAGTAATGTGGTATAGTACATAGTAGGCAAAGCAGAGGAAGTGATGGATTGTATGAAAGTTGACATGATTATGGGGCGACTTAAAATTTGGAAGATAGAACGATCTAGAAGGATTAAATTCTTTTCACTAATAAAGTAGTCAATGCATGAAATAGACGTGTCTTGTCAATTAATTCACCATATCAAATAAAATTTAGTATTCGACTTACCTCCAGCAACACTAATCTGATTATTAAAGTCTTCAGACGGAGAATTCAGTTTTATTTCTGAAAATATAACAATTGTTAACATCCTGGGCTTCCATTGTCGTTATTTTTTATAATAATGTTAATTGACCATAGATAAACGTTGCGTCAAAGAACCATTTTCAAACATAGGAGAATAAAGGATTTTTATAACGATTGATTTCGATTGTCATATGTTTGAAGTCAATATCGATTCACTTTTATCGATGTTTTTAAGTAAGGTTTTTGGACCTTTTTTGATTGATGATATTTTATTTGCCTTCTAGCTTTGCATATAAATGTTTCCACTCCATTAACTATTTCCACGAAAGATGTAACAAGGTAAAAATAGTCGGTTTACGTGTTTCGTAGAACTTGTGGGCTTGACTATAAATAGGAACATATCTTACCGTATAACCGAAGTGTTCCTTCGCTTTTCCCTAATGAGTTAGTACTAATACAGTTGTATGTGCCGATGTCACTTTTTGAGAACTGCTTTATTGTGAGCCACATCGATACTTTGTACGATGTTTTCTCTTCTCTTATCGTATACTTTGGACTGGAAAAAATATACTAAATTAAACATAACTGACATATTAAAATCAATGTTAAAAATATTTAAAGTGTGCCTAAGTAATCATAAACTCGATTAACTGTAACACTTCTAAACTTCAAAATACGATTCAATCTTAACTTTCGCATATATACTACTAGTTCTCGCCTGCGACTTTGCGCAAAAGAAGAATAAAATTTGAATTATTTGCCTATGTAGAAAACATATCTATCCAGACTATATCTATGCAAAATTTCATCGAGATCCGTTCAGCAGTTTAGGCTACAAACTGTAACAAACATCCATCTAAACTTTCGCATTATAATATTTACTAATATATAGTCAGTTACATAAACATGCATATATTGAAACGAGCACATTTATGAATCTGACTGTACTGCAAAAGCTATTACTCCTGTCGTATTGTCAAAAAACAACATATTAATAAATAAATGACGTCATACCCATCTAAAAGCATCTCTCCTCTGTTCTTAATCCAGTAGTTAATAGTATTAGGATAGGCTTCCACGTAACACTTGAGTTTGACATCTGTGCCTAATGGCGCGCCTAACAATTGATTGGGTACCTTCACTGTCGGTGCAACTAAAATGACAATTTATATTAAAATCTTATCTTCTACGTCCTCGAGTCATAAAAAATATAGTCTATATTACTCCCCAATAAATTAGCTTTCTAATGTTGAAAGAATTTTTAAAATCAGCCCAGTAGTTTTTACGTGAATCGAATACATACAAATTTGTTTTTAAATTAATATTTATTGGCATCCGAGAGTTTTCATTGTTGTCTCAAGTTTACACAATACAATGACAGTAAATACAGTAACTTACAGTTAACAAGTAATGTTATCCTCTTGCTGACAGCTGGTGGGACGTCGTTAGAGGCGATGCAAAGAAAGGTACCCATTTGTCGTCTATCAACTCGTAACAAAGGCAACGAACTGCCCACGTAACTCTCCACTGCAATTAAATATACATTAAAACATCTCAGAAAAAGGTCACCTTCAGTTGAAAATGCACAGTATTAACAGAACAGTCGCAATGTTCATGTAAAGTACAAACTCTAACTGATAAACTACAGTTTTAACTTTAGTGCAGTTAAAACTAAATATGTAGTCGACTTTAACATATACACGACCTGCAGATAGAGTGACCATCTCGACGTAAATAATTGTTTAATTGATAGACAGTAAAAGACTGTAAAGGCGGAATTTCCGCGGACAACCGTGGGCTCATGTGAACTCGTCCTAAACATTTCTAACCAGATTTAAAAAGTTAAAACAAATATTTAAGATCAACTGCCAGTACTTTAACAGCAACGTAGAAAGTCTTAATAAGTATGGATATGGCGTGAGAAATCTTCTCTAATGGTACACGTTAATAAAGAAAAAGTAACTCAAAGTACAACCTATTAGAAGTTGAGTTAGTTTGGGTTATAACCCAACATTTACGTACAAATTTAATCCTTCATTAAATTTACGATCTTTTTTATTTTGTAAATCCTCATAAAAATTGTAGTTACTGTTAGAATTCTTATATGAAAACTTTAATTTAAACGAAACAAGTCTTGTACTGTATTTAAGTCTGAAATAGTTCGTGTGTTAAGAAAAAAGTAAGGAACATTTCGGCTTCCCGGAGAGCAATTTGGCCGCACACCTGTGTCCTACATACGGAGCGCCTGCCAACATTGTGAAACTATTTCGTACAAATATTCGTGATAACTGAGTTTGAATATTTTTCAATATTTATATTACTATTTTGAATTTCAAAGATTCTGTTATGGGTTCAATTTAAAACTAAATAAGAATGAATAAATAATAACATTATTTAGTTAAACAATTTTGCAAATATATCTAAAACTGAGTCCATAATTGTCATTAAGGGATATCCTTAATTTCTCTACTAAATCTTTACTGATACTACTAAAAGACACTTAGTGCATATAAGTAAAATGACCTATAATAAAAAAATAATTAAACCTAACTCACGAACTATAAAATAAAAATTAATAGTTTTTGTATTCTTAAAACCTAAAAATGAATTGCTAATACATTTATCAATATTGTATTGTTTCCAATATAAAGTAATACATAAATATTCAACAAAATTCCCGATCTAACTTCAGAGTTTTATAAAAAAAGCCCTATCTGTTCAAATGCAGTGACGCACAGATCGCTATTCAATTGGAAATGCCGGGAGATTTCCTCTTATTTTATTGTTAACGAACTCCGCATCGTACAGACAAGTTCCAAGGATCGATGGATTAACTCGCGATAGAAACTTGTGGGGTATGTTAAACATCTCAATGTAAACATTCACAGACGTTTATTACATTCTTAAACAAAACATCGAGGTAAATTGAGTACTTCTTTCAACTATACATATCACTAGATTTCGCCCGCAACTCTTATAAAATTTAAAATAAAAACAAAAAAGCAAGTTGCATGTGTTCTTCCAAACTATCCTCTACATCTACGTCAAATTTTATAGAGCTCCGTTCAGCGGATTAGGCTAGAAACTCTAACAAACATCCATACATCTACACTATTGCATTTATAACATTAGTAAGATTAGTAGTTAGTTAGTTAAGTTATAGAGTTTTACTAATTATGATTAGTCCAAACCAGGGCACAGCACTATAGTATGCTTATTTTAAAACGTATTTCAAACACTGTCCAAGTTTAATTTTAGACGAAATGGTTATAAACAAGACAAAGTATGTGTCGAGATATTGTACGGCATTAGATTAGAGTTTACCCTTTTCGAATTCTCTAGTCTGTGGTTTCTTGAGCAATATTGGTTCATGGTCTTCTCTTCGCCAGGTGATCTTCGGTGGCGGGTGACCTGTCGCCTTACAAGTCAATGTAGCGTTCTCCAGTTCTTGTACTGATACGTCTGATGAAGTATCGTCGCTTATTATATCCGGAGGTACTGCAACAAAAGAAGTGTGATTTACAAAAAAAGTAATATCATTTATTGGTTTTTAAAAATGTGAAATTAATTAATTCGATAAAACTAATAGTCGGCGTTTCTCTCTACCTAATTTTACCTAAAGACCTAAACTAGAAGACTGAAAATGATAGATCAGATTTTTCGAATACTCTGAAAATACTTGGAACGGTTAGACGAGTAACAATGAAAACCAACTGAAACCAAAAAAAAATACTATAAATACGAAATAAATAATACGATTTTACAAATTTATTAATCCTGGTAATTTATGAACAGTTGGGTAACCGCCCAGGATTAAAAAGGGCGTCACATGCCTCCAAAGCATTGTAAAAAGAGATCGCCGTAGTAATTTCGCCTAGGACGGTAATGCTATAGCCGTGCACACCCTAACTTACTCATGCATTTTGTTTTATAATTGAAATATGAAACAGGCTTATTTGTCCCAATAACAAAGCTCGACATTCCTTCCTACTAATTAGTAGCTCGCTCGTTAAAGAACATCAATTAAAACAAAGCCTATTTTGTTTAAATAGAGGCACAAATTAATTTGAGAGCGCTGTAAACAGCCGTTTGTTTTAATGCTACTCCATTTATTGTTTGTTTACGGACTACTTTCATTTTATTAACATCAGATTTTGTGTAGATTGTAATGCAATTAATGGAATTCATATTAAACACTCATTATTGTAACTAAAAAAAGTTGTTAGATGGAAAAAAGTTATTTAAAGACACGTTCTTAAAATGGTACATGCATAAGGGTACGTTATTAACACTCTATTATCAATGTTATTTGTTTAAAATATCATATGAAATACGAAATAAATACATGAATAATGAAAGTTTTACGACTTTAAACATGAGTCTATCTTGAACCACTTTTTATGTTATTTATTTTGAATTATTTTATTTTACCCACTATGGGTCGCTGCGCCAACCAAGTAAGTAAGTATTTTGATAATAATTTGCAATTTGCTCGCTTTAAAATCGATCTGAACAATAACAAGCGAAAATCTGATCTGAAATTGTCAAAATATATGTGTAACATACCCATCAAGTCTGCTGATTGCAGCAGCCTTAACATTCAGTTCTCGAAAAATTTTGGTATTCGTTATTACTAAGTAATTAAAGTGATCTTCCAATCGATGTTAAGTATTGTTTTTAATCGATTATAATCATAAATTAAAAGGGTAATAATAAAACAACAAATAACAAAATGAGCCGATCGAAACGTCGCCGCAGTCGCGCGTCGCCCGAATATAGAATAAGTTGGAAATTGGAAAAGGAACCGCGACTTCTTGCGGGACTCATGCAAATCGTGAATACAAATAAAAGTAAATTGCAAAACTTTCCGCGTTCTGAGGTCGGAATGCAAAATTTGTGAGGCCGGTCGACTGAATTACTTTGACTTTTCGAATTTCGCGCCCTAAATTCAGTAGTTATTGACCAATTTCGAATAGTTTATTAGCGACTACTATGTTGGTTGAGTTTATATGTACACTTAAACTATCGATTCGTCTTTCAGTTTATGTTCTTCCCCAGAATATACTGTGATTAGTTATACAATAATTAGCTGTACCCGTGCGGCTTCATTATAAAATGAAATTATAAAAATCTTATTTAATTTGTTTACATTTGTCAAATTATCAATAGCAAATGTCAAAATGACATGACATGACAAACCTTAGCAATCTTACTATCTTGATGTTGGCAGCAACTTACGGTCTCTTTCCCACATTTGGGTTTTTATCCAAATTATTTACCCCCCAAGTTTAATGGCGTGAAAATATATAGCCTAAAGCGTGACGTGAGTGTAGGGCTTTTTATTAAATAAATAATTATTCAAAAATATGCTGTAATTACTGACATCTTAGGCAACAAAGAAGTGTGTGTTTACGCTTTATTATAGTAGTATAGATGAAATTACTTTAAAATTAAAATGATTGGATGGTTTTAAAATTTTGATTAAACAAAACCATTCTCTAAGTTTACATTATTATTGGATGTTCTAGAAAATTTTAATGTCACTTTGATTCTAAGAATAATTATAGTTCTATGTTCATTGTAGTCGAGACAATAAAAGAATCACTTTTATATAGTTTTCTGTTGAAAGCATACACTAATTGTGTTCTAATGGAAAATATCTAGTAATGGTATAAATGTCGATAAAATTTGATTCCACTTTAGTTATATTTAAGAGAAGTTTTTTAATTAGTTAAGAATATTATATAATAGCCGTATATATTAGCTATAAGATAATTATTTGAAGGCTGTCTTTTAAGTTATAACTTTAAAATAGTCCTAAACTTAATTTTTATAATAGTAAAGATACATCTACTATAATTTCAACTACGCTTTTGCAATTATTTTTAAAGCACTCGCTGGATTCCAATCGAAACTTTAACACGGTTGAATAGAACGCAGCGACATCTCGAGTCAAACTGAGGTACAAGTCCCAAATTGAAAAAGAAATCTCTATGTCGCTGTCGCATGCAAATGTCGCCAACAATATTACCAAACTCTTACCTAATATTCAAAAGGTGTGCTCAGTTAGGCGCAAATTAAATGACACATAATATATTTCTTTCACTCTTGCGTTCTATTTGTTGGATGTGACATTTTCATTCTCTATAACTAAAATAAAAATATATTTTTGTACTGGATTTATCATCATTTTCAATAATTTTATCATCCGTCATCTCAGTCAACACTCTTTGATCCAACTTTTTCTAGGTCTACCTCTAAAATCATAATAATCAAGACCTAGTTCTATGCGATGACGTCACAAGACGAACGTTTAGTCTGTGTGTGCTTTTCTGTCGCTTGATCCGCTCTCTCGCTCACACTTTGCTCTCAAGCGGACAGTGAATCATGATTTTCTGTGGGTACAATCGCGGAAATCCGCGGTGTTTCACTTAAGGTAAATTGCCTTGTTGGTTGCATTTTTCGTGTAGACAAATAATCGTTGTATTGGTTTTTGTTACGCGTCTTGTTTCATTTTATTTATTGAAATTTTACACAAGCAAAATTTAGACAAATATAGCCCCGCAAAAAACATATCATTGGTTTGTACGCGAGCGCGGTGAAACATTGTTAAGTGGAGTTGTTCTAACAATTGTAGCTTTTAAGGTGGAACGTCAGTTTCCCTGACTGTACGTGCAGCCTTCAGTCATAAGACGCTATCACGTTATCAAACTTATTAAATTGTTAAATAAACAGTGTACAATGGACAATCTACACCAAAGCGGCAATTTATGTAGAACACAGAACTTATTTTGTATTTTAAAATAGAAGCGTTTCCTTATGTTTCGTCGATCGATCAGCCTTGTCTTACCTGGCCTAGAAGTAGACCGGGTAGGGCGCGGCGACGATATTGAAAATATACGAGTGCACGGCAAAGATACGCGCCTTTTTAATCCACTTCCATTGAGCTACATTTCAACCGTACCCTTCAGTTTGTTTTTTTAAGATATTTATATCGAAAAAACATTTCGCAATTCGGTATTTATGTACGAGAAATGTTACTAGTTAATACTAAGTATTAGAAGCACATTAACGCTTAATGTACAGTAAATAATAATTCAAATAACAAGAGAAGATCATGAAACATTTTATTGTAGTTGCTTTATCGAAATTATTAGCTATCGTCCGTGACTCCGTCAGGGTTCCATTAAGAAACAAAAGTAAGTAGCCTTTGTGTTCTTCCAGACTATCCTCGACATCTATGCCAAATTTCATCGAGATCTATTAAGCAGTTTAACTTACAAACTAACAAACACCCGTCAAAATTTTCGCATTTAAAACATTATAGTTTGTCTAAATAAAATAGATTAGTCTGATAAAAGACGTATATAAAATATCGAATTCAATTTCTATGAAGGCAAATGCCATACTTAATAGACAGGTATCGTAGTGACGAAACAAACACGCATAGCGAACAATTTGGAACTATCGATATTCGATATTCGACTAAAATTATTATTTTCTTATTAACTAATTTATAGGACAATTCTAGTATTAATTATAGTGTAGAGAATTTAGCGATAGCAAAAATAATAGCGAAATCCAATTCGATTACGTACGGCTGCAGTAGTAGTAAACATTTATTTAGTCTCATTATTTGTTATGGTCATTATTAATTTGTGAAAACAGTGCTTTTTTTTATTTATGTTATAACTATAAATCTATCAATACCAACTTCTATAAGAATAAAAAATCGAAAATCGATAAGATTCATGACTGTTTTTACACAACCCATCCCTACTACATTTGAAATGAATTGTCAAACTAATCTAAATTATTTAGACACACTATAGTTATATTGTCGTAGACATTTAACGAAGAAACAAACATACTTAAGTTATCTCTAGTAAATAAAGAGTATTAATAAATATCTAACTTACCGTATACGTCTATACATCCAATCTGCCAGATCATAGTTGGCTGTGTGTTTATCTGGCACATATAACAACCGCGGTCCTCCGCCCTTAGAGGGCGTATACGCAACTGCCAAGTATGCGGGGCGTCCATATTGACGGAGTACCTCGCCCCGAGAACCGCACGATCGTGCATCGTCAGCACTGTCTGATCCTCTGCACGGAGCCAACCCACCTGGGAACAAGGAACAAGATTCTTAAAATTATCAGGAACTTTGACGCTTGTATAATCATTATCAACCTGACTTTGTCCCTATAAAATCAGCATTGTAAGTACTGCTTTCCATCTCTATCTGAATTCACTGCCTTGCAAGTAAATCCTCTTTCACACAATCCATACTTTCTTCAGTTATCCTTTACCTTTGTAGCCAAAGTTTGACCTCTTTGACGTTATCTTACAGTCTTTTGTTTTGTAGACTGATACACATTCAAAATTAGACCGTATCTTTTTGTGTCGAAGAATACAAATCCGTTATCTATATCTATACTAATCTATACTTTCTATACTAATATTATAAAGAGGAAAGATTTGTATTTTTGTATGTATTTAAATAACTCCTTAGAAAGGTAATTAGCTGTGAGTAACATAGGCTATATATTTCACACGGACGAAATCGCGACCAACAGCTATACTATACTATTATTAAAAAGAGGAAATATTTATATTTTTGTATCTTTTGAACTAACTAAAAAATACTGGTCCGATTCAAAAAATTCTTCCACCATTAAAAAGCTATGTTATAAGTGAGTAACATAGGCTCTCTTTTAGATTGTTTTACGTGCAACATCTAGCCTTAATATTTTAAAGGAATACGAACAAAAACTGAACTGAATGTTGACGCAATATTATTATGAAAATGAAGTCCCAAAGGTGAGTTTTATAAATGCAGTATAGAACACTCATAAGTTAGAAAACAGTCCTAGTTTCTGTCACAAAGAAACATGTTTTGTGTTTTTTGTTGCATATTGCGATTACAGAAACAAGAGGTGTATTAATATAGCTGTATTTTCCGTAGGTAATTACTTAAAATGTACTTGTTATCTTCACTATGGGGTAAGGTGAGGCCGTGCATTTGCTCGTTCTGTCCTCTTTTGTTTTTCTTTTACGCTATGATTTTCTTTTGTTTCTGTTTTTCGATTAGTTCCCATTGTTCTGTATATTTTCTATTCCTAAGGTTTGTAATACACGGACAGTTTATAATACTTAATAACGAAATATTTTAAAGGAGACTGCGAACTACGGTTCGTGTATGGCGAACCTAAACTGTGTAAATTCAACCACTTGAAGCGATTTGTACTGATTGCTTGTAGTCGCGTATGGTAACCTTTAACATTATTTGTGTTGTTAAAGCCTATTTGTCCTAAAACTAAATTATTCATTAACTGTACACACAAAATATTTTAAATATATTAACAACTAGCTGTACCCGTGCGACTTCATCCGCATGAAATTATAAAAAATTTACTTCATTGTTTACATTTGTCAAATTATCAATAGCAAATGTTAAAAATGACATGAGATGGCAAACCTTGGTAATCTTGCTTCCTTGATGTTGGCAGCAACTTATGGTCTCTTTCCCACATTAGGGATTTTTTTTAAATACTGATTGAAATATTAATGACGCAAGTGTGGGGCTTTTTATTAAAAATAAAGAATTATTCTAAAATATGCTGTAATTGCTGTCATGTTAGGCAACAAAGAAGTGTGTGTTTACGCTTTATTATAATAGTATAGAGATAGATAGATATAATAAAGTACATTTGCTATCAAGAGGTAAATAAGGTTACGTTCATTACAGTTACTTGTTAGGATGGTAATAAAGCTAATGTACCTCAATTAATTCAGCGCAACTGCTGGACTAAGTTCGGGTCATCTCGTGAACTAGCGACATCTATTGATCAACTTAAGTGTTAAAGTTTCACAATCAACATACTGTAATGTCGAATTATAAAACTGCACTCTTTATTCTTATCTTACATAGAACTTAAATGAGGCATTTATTTCGTAACTATACAAGCTTTCGCCCGCGACTTCGTCCGAGTGGAATTAAAAATAACAAAACTAAGCAGCCTATGCATTCTTCCAGGCTATCTTCAACATCTATACCAATATTTCATCTACATCCGTTCAGCAGTAGGCTACAAACTCTATCAAACATCTATTCAAATTTTGCATGTATAATATTAGTGAGAATTTTATATAATATCTTACTTTATGTTTTCCTAGATTGCTGACAGCACAACCAATGACAGCTTCCCGGCCCAAGAAGAATGTGTGGTTACCAATCGGCCTCGCAAACTCTGGTTCTTCTATTACTCTTTTAGTTGTTGTTTGTGAATCTGTAATAAAAGGGAATGTTAAATACCTTCATTTTTTATCCTTTCTCTTAGAATAATTAGTATTTACCAATGTTTAATAAAAAATACTTGTATTCTACCTACTCACAACAACGAGGATTCAATACTATTTAAAAAGTCGTCAAAATACTATTGGATTTGTCGCCTACCTACTCCATTCCGCAACTCCGAAAGATATAAACATAGAACATTTCAAATAACATATGCTTTACTATAATATACCGTTGATACTACGGCAAATAGTTTGACTTTAAAATTTAATGTATTCACTATACTGGATAATGACATGCAAAACATTTAGCAAGTGAGGTGTTGCCACTACACTTGTCAGAAAATTAAATACGTCATTGCTATCAACATAGACTTTTGTAGTAAAGTCAATACAGCAACCGTATCCATTGGTTTTACTTCACGCATTTGTAATACATCTTTGCTAATATAACATAGGGAAATGTATTTATGTATCGAAATAACTCAAAAACTATTATACTAAACCGATTTCAAAAATTCTTACACCATTATGAAGCTACGTTATCAGTGAGTAGCATAGGCTATATTTTTAATTTCACTCGGACGAAATCACGAGCATCTAGTCAAAAATGAGGGCGACAACAATACATTTTACCCTTTTTTCTGTGCAGACAAAGTCGCCGGCAAAAGGTACTGTTTATTCTATAATACAAATATCAGATATCCTTCCTGACATTTAACAAAGGGCAGATTTTATTCAAAAGGTATACAAACATAACTAAACCTTATTTGTGTTTCACTAATAGGCCGCAAAATGTCAAGTGTGAACGTAATCCATCGAATGCTATTGTAATAAAATTTTAAAATGTTTATTACTATGTACGTAAGTTTATTTAGATTTCTACGTATGTGAGAGTTAAGGCATTCATGGAAAAATACACATATCATTTCCTTTATATAAAAAACTCAAACAATACAATTTTGTATTGACATTTTAAGTAGTAACCCACAGGAACTACGTTAATTGGGAGGAGCAAGAAACCGTTTACGTAATAACTATAAAATTCAGTCACATAAACAATAGAGCAGTAAAGAAAATAAATTCGTTTCACTCTCAAGTTCGAATGTCATTTGGAAAACTGTCACCATAAGAGCTATAATTTAGCCCATAAGTAAGTCGAAACGAAAAATTTTCGACCTTACTGCATTGTAAGGAACAAATCAATATTTCACTTAAATTGACAGGAAATAAAATTCCTTGATTCATTGTTAAATAAACTACTAACTTATCGATATCTCTATTAATATTGTAAAGAGGAAAGAAATCAGTGCGAGGCGCGACGCGAACGCGACACATACTTAACTCTCGCCCTGAAGAAGGACCCCCGCAGGGTCTGAAACTGGTCGGTGCCGTCACCGGAAAAACAAAAGCATACGTGAGTAAGCCGTAAATAATTAATTAGGAAATATTTGATTTTCTGCATTGAATAGGCTCCAAAACTATTTAACACATTTCAATAATTATTTTACCATTAGAAACTAAGTTACAATTAATTGTTAAGTAAACGTCAAACATCGTGTATTCTTATTTAAGCGTAGTTACAGCTGATGGTTATTTTTAAAATAAAAAAATTACTTAATAAAACTAACATTTTTATGAGATTGTTCTCGCAATTATGATGCTCCCGAAATACAATAGCCATTACCGTTCCAAAGCGTCGATAAACCAACAGTGGTATAAAAAAGGCAGCGTCGCGAGGGCAATGGAGTCGGCTCGCACCTGTCACGGTATGCTAATATCTAGGATTTATACCACGTGCACACCAACTGGTTATGAACGATTTATTTAGTAAATAGCTTTTGCTTGCGACTGAGTTCTCGCGGGTTAAAAAACTTATCAGTAGCCCATGAGTTCTTCTACACTATGTTCTACATTTGTTCCAAATCGTCGAGATATCTTTACTTTAGATATACTGAGAACATACATCCCAGCTTTCGCATTTATAACATTAGTTATATTAGAATCACTGGTATTAATATACAAATGAAACCGTCGACAAGCATTAGCATTAAAAATTAATTTAGGCCCGCGATTCCGTTCGAATTAAAAAAAAGTAAGTAGCTAATATGTTCTTCCAGACTGTCCTCTACATCTATGCCAAATTTCATCGAGATCCGTCAAACAGACACGACAAACGCTAACAAACAACAGTCCATCTGAACTTTCACATTTATAATATAACCAAGACACTAATTAAACGACTAATTAAAATTTGATGGAAACAAAGTCAAAGCAACCACCAAATTAATAAACAAAGTAGAATTGAAATCCCTTTGAGTTATCGATAACATTACTCGTTTCCCGAACAGTTTTAAAAGCTTTGACTCGTAGTCGTGTAGTACGAAAATAAAATAGTTATTTTAACTTTCCACCGACTGTGAAATACTGAAACTTTTGACAAAGTTCATGTTGAAAAAATTCGTATACAAAATTCAAAGTGAGCTTTAAAATAAAAACATTGTGATAGCAGATGTTTTGATAAAACTTTTTAATTGAATATGCTTTTAAATAGTTACAAATGACGGGTAAAATTATTTTTAAAAATATTCTTGCATTTTTAACCTGCTCTTTTTATAACAGAATTTACAATAGTAAAAGCAGTATAGGATTTATCCGGTTTTATTTAATTTTCAACATGATAAAGCAAAAATTAAAACAGATTTAATATTTTTTTAATGCCGAATTTAAAAAAATCCACAATCTAAAAGTTTTTTTTTTTAAAACAAGCATCTCAAGAATATTCTACCTCCTATATTCATTTATTTGGTTAATTTAATTAGTCACTATAGTAGAATACTTATGACTAAGATAACTGTCTAAGATAACTCACCCTCTAACAGTCGACTTTAGCAGTCTCTTAGAATAGATTTATTCTGTCTAATCTACACAAAGGGCCTCCCTAAATGGCGGTACCACTCTTATTATTATATTATCAATTTAAATAATAACTAGACATCTTCAAGCTTTCGTAGATACTGGATATGAATCTCATTATTATTTTAAAGATATCAAACTTACATAAAAACTATATATAACTATTTAAGTAATTAACATAAACAGTTTACCTTTTAAAGCCATACTTGGTAGGAAAGCCAACGCTTGCAGCATGGTCCAAAAGCAAGATTTTCCGGTCCTCATTCCGATGAATATTATTACAATATAATCACTCAAAACACTGCATTGTTAATTCACATTAAGTGCGGTAACATCACTAACAGGTTACAACTATATTTAAATTATTTCTAATTTCAAATCTGCCTACCCTTAATTCTAATTCCATTGTTGATCTATAAACAAGAGACGGTAATTTGCTATCAAAAACTCCAATCATTAAATACAGTAATTACTTTATTAAGTGACGTAGGTATAAATTATTATTTTTTTAAGATAAAGGGTTCTTGACGTATTAAACTGTGAATCATCACATTGCAATCATATGTAATACTTAAAATAATTTTATGAATCATATATCGAATGAGAATTTCGCAATATTGCTAGATTCTTTTGTTTTTAGATAATTAATATTGATTCCAGAGATATCGTTAGTTAAATAATTGTGTACAAAGTAAGAATATCAATTTGAAATGGTAAAATATCTTTAGAACTAACATAAATTGTTATTATGTACGGTTACATTATATACGGTTTAAAATTATAACATTTCATATTTATCTAGTAATTTAGCTTTACTTTTTGAGGCTTCAAAATATTGCAGTATCTAAAAATTGGTATTTTGTGTCACCAATAAATATTACCTAATAATTAAATTACATTGCATTATGAAATTGTTTTTTTTTTACATTCTACATTTTTATATTTAAGTCTGTAATTTATTATTTTTACTTTACCTTCCATGTACTAATTTCAGTCGTATACGAGAGAAGGAACATACCTATTTTGCATATCTATAAAGAAGAATTTTATTACATTTTCACTAATGGATTATTATTTTAACATTAAAACTACACTACAAAGAAACAATCCTTTAAAAAACGTAAAAATCTTGCAATCTACAAAGAAGGTGATTACTGCATTTTTAATTTGAATATAATCTATTCACGGGATGATTTTTTTATTCAAATCAATGATTCCATTCACAATGCCAACACTCACGAATGTATCTTTCAAAACGGGCGACATAGGTCTAACCCGTAGCGCGGATCGTAGCACACTGGCTGTAGCGACGTAGCGCCAAAGGTCCGTAGCACACAGACAAACGTAGACGTCTACGTACCCCGTAGCATGAAAAGGTTACCGCTCAAACGTTTAAACCTTACGCCTTTTGCACGAATGTGTTTTGTTTCTACCAACTGTGCTCTATTTCTAAAAACAAAGGGTGTTTAGACTTCTTTACAAAGGGGAATGTAACATTCTTGTCTCTATTTTAAAGAAAGGTCTTGTTGGATGATTGTTCTTTCCCTCTGTTGTCAAGTTTTTTTTTGATATCGTACAGCTTGCGGACGTTTAATATATCAAGCAAAAAAATCTTAGATTAGACAGTTTTACAAAAAATAAAAACATCTTAATAGTATTCTATTTGCGAAAGGTTGGATGGATGGATGTTTGTTAGAGTTTGTAGCCTAAACGGCTGAACGGATCTTGATAAAATTTGGCATAGATGTAAAAGATAGTCTGGAAGAACATATAGGCTCCTTTAGTTTGTTTTTTTTTATGCGGACGGAATCGCTGGCTAAAAATATTTTCTTAAGAAAGGTTATAAAATCCTGTCTTTTGAATTTACAATCATTGTTTTTATAAAGTGAGGCTTAAAATGATTTAAGTTCTCGAGTTACAACTTGAAGTAGAGGTAAACGTTTTAGGGCTGTCCGTGTTACAATATGGTACGGCTAACGACCGAAATTTGTGTACCCTCTTGTAAGCTATTTGATTAATGACTTGCTTTGAACACCTTGCCTTTAAAAAAAACGTATACGATATTTCATACTTTCAGTTTCTTAACAACTTATTTACATAACTTAGATAAGTAAAAAATTATAGTAACCTACAGTTATAATAGTATAATAGTAAATATAAAAAAATTAACACGGCAAATTGATTTTAACATTAAACTAGCTTTTGCCTACCATTACGCGTAGATTTAAAAAAAAAAAGTAGTTAGCTTAGGTGTTCTTCCATCTATCGCGGACGGCGCTGGCTGGGTCGCGGAAGATTGCGCGAGTGTTCCCGTGACCCAGCCATCGGCGAACAGGAGGAACACCGTTGGGTTTTTAGTGGGTATTCCGGCCACGTCTGTTCTTTTTTGGCCGGCGAGTCCCACATACCACCCTGGCAACTGGGGGATGCGTAAAGGCGTTTTCCCAGCGAGAAAAAAAAAGGTGTTCTTCCATACTACCCTGTACATCTATGCCAAATATCATCGAGATCTGTTCGGCAGTTTAAGCTACAAACAAACAACCATCCATCTAATTTTTTTGTAAAATTTAAGTTACCCTTTTTAAATAATCTATTAATTTTGTTATCAAATATTCAAAGTCCTTGAAATGAACTCAAACAACATTAATAAAATCAGATAAAGGCTATTGTTATTTATTCTGACATCAGTCATACATTAAGGGACTGTCCCACCACTGGCTGATAGAGGCTCAGATAGCTTAAGAATGACGCCACTGGCAGATAAGGTAACACAATCCGATATATCCAACACATTTACACGTTGGATTATTATCAGACAATTTACAATATGGGACAAGTCCTAATTACATCAATTAATAGTTACATTTATTACAATTTAGAACAACTAAATACTAATGTCGATACATATAAAACCTTTTATAAATCATGTACATATCTTCGTAGTTATAAATACAGTGTCAATAAATTGTAATCTACAGCCGATAGTACGGCAAATACTTTGACTTTAAAATGTACTGTGCTCACTGGACTGGACAATAATGATATGCAAAACAACCATCAGTAAGGTGTTGCACTATACTTGTAAAATATGCAAATATTGCACACTAGTTGTTGCCCACGACTTCGTCGGCGTGGTATTAGAAAACATACGAACTATATAAATGTCATAAAGCTACGTATCCCTAGGGAACCGGACATTTCTCGGGGATGAATCTTATCCCATGTGTACTCCAGACTTTGTTTTACATCTGTGCCAAATTTCAATAAGATATTTTGAGCCGTTGCAGAATGATCGAGTAAACATTAAAAACTAAATTAATGAATCCCACGGGAACCGTAACTATTCCCGTGATATAAAGCCTATGTGTTCTTCCAGACTATGCTCTAAACCTGTGCCAAATTTCATGGAGATCCGTTCAGCCGTTTAGGCTATAAACGCTAACAAACATCCATCCATCCATTGTAACTTTCGCATTTATAATATTTAATTAAAATGATTGCTATCAACCTAGACGTTATAGTAAAAGTCAATACAACAACCATATCCATTGGTAAAAACCAATGCATTAGTACACCGGAAATGATGTCAATAACAACGTTATATTTTTTAATTAAATCAAAATGTCAGAAACAAAAGAAAACTTTATGGTATTTAATAATTACCTATCGATTATAGCAAGTAGCATAATATCTATGGTGATTTCGCATGTACAAAGTTGCTAACAATGAAAACTTTAGTCATTAGCCGACTATCGTTATTGCGGATAATTCCTTACTATATATCTGCAAAAACATACTCTACGTTAGTTAAGAGAAAATGATTATCTTTAACTTTTTTTTATTTACAAGAACCAACTCCTAAAAAAGTAACCTATAATATGCCCGTCTATGTCAGCTACCCTTCAGTGATAGTCAGGGCGAAATCGGCCCAGCCGTTTCGAATATGAACCGGAACAAACGCGGGTTACGGACAGACAGATAAAAAAAAATTGCGATTTTCGTCATCAGTAACGTAAAAACATCATCTTCACGAATTTTTTTCTTTTGATAATACAGATTGACACTCCAATTTAATTATATGTATAGATAGAAGATAAATCACATAAAAAATGAAGTTAAATAAAACATTATTTATTTTTTGTTAAAATTTAATTTTAAACACACAAAACAATTGTTAATAAAATACGTAAAGTGACACATAAGAACATTTCAAACATTCCTGATTGATAAGATTCATATTGCAAAACATTTTATAACATCACAGCAATATCAACGATAAGATATTAAAAAAATACCAAAATTTACTTCTGAAAAATATTAAACACACAATTCAGTAACATTTAAACCAATATAATTGAAAAAAATATATTTTTACGAAAATACAGACATATATAACTATATAAGCTGTACTCAAAACTAAAAAAAAAAACAGTTATACAAAAACGTGATTATTGTAGTTATATTTTAAAAAGTTAAATTAAACATTTACATGTTACCACTATATTCAATATTGACTATACACTATATCCTAATATGTCCAATAATTTGCTGTTTGTTATTTCATTTCTATAACTCTGTTCTT